CCCCGTTTGGTTCAGAGCAGCTGAGTGATTGAGATCAGGTCAAGATCTGGTTCAGATCTTCCTCTCTGCTCGTTAAGCTCCCGTCCTTGAGGATGGTGTGGGTTCACCTCGGAGGGAAGATAAATGAGTCCCAGTGTAGCAGCACTAAATCCTCAGCCTTGTGCTGAGCCTTCCAGGGCTCTCTGTGCTGCAGGACAGGGGAATCCTTGGGATGGCTGAGAGACCCAGCTCTGTATGGAAGCGTCATGTAAAGTCCCCTCTGACCTTTCCCCTGGAAAAAAAACAAGAATTCAGATGTTCAATAAATTCCACAGGCATTACCTATGTTAATTGAGCGACTGCTTATCCAGGGCTGTTACTGCTGCCTTCTCCTCAACCATCAAACTAAATCAGGTCCTTGCAGAGAGCTTTTATTTCAAGCAGTGACTTCCTGGCTGTTCTGGAGTGCTGAGGGTGCTGTGGGCATCCAGCTCCTGGTGTGGCTGTGTCCCTTGGCTGCCTCTGCTCCAGCCTGGATGCAGTGGAGCAGTTGTTTTCTGTTAAAGTGCTCCTGGCATGAACTGGGAGCATCCCGTGGTGGGCACAGGTGTCCCCAGGAATGTCCCTGCAGCACTGGCCATGCTGCCAGCCCAGGGCACAGCTGTCACCAGGACCCACCTGGGAGCTGCACTTGGCTTTCTTGGCTTCATTTTAGATGGAAAAGAGCATTTCTGGAGCAGATCTGGCAGCCCTGGAAGGGCCCTGGCAGATGGGCAGCCTTCATCCATGGCCCTGCTCTCTCGGATGAGTTGTGCTTGTTGGAATTATTTACTGCACTGGTCGATAAACACTCTGGGCACTGGGCTGTATTTCATGAACACCATGCTCTCCATGTGCCTGCTGTTATATTTCAAGAGCATAAATAACAGCGGGGCAGCAGCAGAAATTAAAACCAAACACACAGAACGATTTACACCCAGAATTTTTCAACAGAGAAAGGAAGGGGAAAAACCACCCCTGGGCTGTGCCCCTCACTTAAACCTCGCTCCTGCCTTTCCTGGGCTGCCGGTGCCTCTGGCTTTGCTCCTGCCTCCAGCTGAGGGGATGTTGGCTGTTTCTGGGAAGCCACCTGCTTTACCCACATCCCCTCGTGTGTGGGGACACAGTCCCAGGCCAGCTGGTGCCACGTGTCATCCGAGAGCCCCCCTTGGCACATCCCTCCTGCCCTCGGCGGCGCCACCCCGCTGTTTATTTTCCTAGCCAGGGAAACATCCAGCAGCATGTGCTGCAGTCTCCAGGTTGTTTGTTTTCCTTTAAAATGCAATAGAAATCTAATTAGATGAAAACAAACTCTCCTGAAGAGCGGGGTTATTCAGAGCAGGCAGCCAGGGCTCCGTTCCCTTCCCTCTGGTAGCGTTTAAGCGTTTCCCCCGCATCGGTGACGCAGCCGTTCCTCATAAATCAGAGGAGGTAGGAGCACATTTGCTCCCCTGGCTTTGAAGAGGCGTCAGATCTCCGAACAGAGGCTTCTTGCTGGGTGATCCTCTGGGGCTGGTTCTCATTTCCTTGTAGGAGGTGGGTCTGGAGCCCATTTTGTGCATTTGGGAAGGCTGGCGAGGGGGGAAGGGGGAGGAAAACTAATGACTTTGCTTCGTTGACAAAAAAAAAAAAGCCTCAACACCACGAGCGCTGTGCCCCATTAACGTCCCACTGACACAATCATTCACCAGGAAGATGCAGATATTGATTTGGCAGGAACTGCACGTGCCATGGCAGGGCTGAGGCTCTGAGGAGCCATAAACTGTAAGTGGGCTAACTTGGGGTTCAGTGTGACCCTGCCTGGGCTAAGGCCACCTCATTTCAGGTGTTTCTGTGGCTTTCACCCTTCTGGTGTCACTGCTGGCTTTGCCACGTGCCCAGAGCCATGGGGTGGTGGCACTGAGCTGCTGTTGGTCCTTGGGAAGGGCCTCTGGGCAGGCAGCCTTTGGGGGAGCCACCTCCCAGGGCATGGGGGTGAATGGGGGCACTGGGAAGGGCAGTGGCCAAGGGATTGATTGCATCTTGTGCATTTTAACAGATGAAAAGCTGCCAAGGTGAGGCACCCAGTGCCCCAAAAATGGAGGTTTCCTGTCCAGTTCTGCCCCATTTTTATGCCTTGAGGAGAAGGTGTTAATGCACACCAGTGGCACAAGGCATCCACTGCTGTCCCAGCCATGCTCATACCCCTCCCAAATCTCTCCTGTGCCTGCATTATTTGGGAAGGGCTCAGAGATGTGACCCTGCAGAAGCTTCAGCTCTGTGTTAGAGCCAGGTTGCTTTAAAATGAGGCATTTCCATCACCTCTGTGGCAGGCTCTGGCTGTGCTGGGCTCTGAGTTGCACTCAGGCCAGACACCCTCTGGATTTGGCCTGGCAGACACTTCCACCTGGGAACGGCTCGAGGAGCATCGCTGGCTGCAGCCAGAACCGCTGCGCTCATCCAGGCAGCAAGAAACTCCCTGGAAGAATTTTAAGGAATTCATCTGGCAGGTTTGGAAAGGTAATTGTGAGGAGAAGGTGGAGCTGGAACATTTCTGCTGCGCTGGGCCGTTTGCACCGAGAGGAGCTGGCAGGAGGCGAGCTGCTGAGTGAGGAGCCGGCGCTGCCATATGGAGCTGCTCGCTCACGAAAAGCTCAGCCGAGGCCAGGGCTTGGCAGCCCCGCTGCACAGAGCCCCTGTGTGTGAATAAATGTTACTCCTCGGCGTTACTCGGGGTTGTAGGATCCGGCTGTGGGCAGAAAGAGCCGCGATTTGGCCCCGCTTCAGCACAGAGCGCTCGGGGAGCAGCACAGCAGTGGCAGAGATCTTGTGCTTAAATTCGCTCTCTGCTGGGTCTGAGCTTTCAACTGGCTTAACTTTTGTGTCTTGGATCACCAGTGGAGGCATCGAATCTGTCTGAGGCAGGAGGTTTGTGGAGGGGAATTTGGGATTTGCTGAGGAAGGTGGCAATGGGGAGGCTGGAACAGGCTGGCAGGGCTGTGTCTTATTTCTGGTGATAAGAACAGGGAAGGGGGAGGAAGAAACTCACTGGAATTGGAATGTTGGGCATTTCAGAGCGGTAAAGTAAAAAAAAGCCCAACCAAAACTGATTTTAAGCATAAATAGTCTGCAGGAGTTTATAGTCTCAAGGTCCTCCAGAATCTGAGCATGGGAGGTGAGATGAGGAAAGCACGAGGTGCAGGAATGAAGTCATTCTGCTGCTGTTACATGGGAGATGCATTGGAAGGGAATCAGATTTGAAGTCTGGAAGTCCCAAACTCACCCCTTGCATCCCAGCCCTGTTCCCTGTTCCCTGCTGCCTCCTTGAAACCACGGGTTTGTGGCTGCTGGTCCCTGGAAGTGTCCAAGGCCAGGCTGGACAGGGTTTGGAGCAAGCTGGGATAGTGGAAGGTGTCTCTGCCCATGGCACTTTGTGAGCTTTAAGATCCCTTCCAACCTGAATCATTCCAGGATTTGTCTGTGAGATGGGATCCTGAGCTGGAGGGGTTTTCACCTGCTGCTCCTTTGCTCCTGCCCTCATCCTCAGTCGAACTCGAGCTGCAGTGGAGCTCCATCAGGGACACATTTGGCCTCCAGCCTCCTCACACAAGCCCAATTCCCCCTTTCCTTCCATGAACAGGGAGTTCAGTGCATCAGGGAGCTCTGTGACTCGGGACAGCGACCGTGTGGGAGAGTTCCAGAGAGGAAACGCTAATGGAGAGCGAGACAAGAGCAAATCCAACAGGACAGAGGAAACCCTTGTTAGATGTGGGCTGAGCCAATGGGTCTGGAGGTAGTTAGAGCCCAGCACACAGCAGTCTGTAATATTTTATTCCAGGGATATATATTTCCGGGACAAGTTGTTAGATTGACCTCTAGCGTTCATTTTCTTCAGGGAGAATTTTGTGATCCAGTCCTGTTTTGATCAAGTCTCGTACCTTTGCACTTTGAACGGGCTTTCAGGGGAGGTTTTGTTTTTCTAATGGATAAACCCTCCAAATGTCAGTGTGGGTCTGCAGGAGTTTGCTAACGAGCTGCCTGACAGGCAGCCAGGAGGGCTGTGGAAATGTTTACACACGATTCCCTCGGAAGGGCTGGATGCAGTCCTGGCTCTCCGAGGCAGTGGGAGCCCTGCCACCACCAGGCCAGGGCCAAATGCTCAGCCAGGAGATCAAAGGTGGATTTGTGCTGGAAAGTTTAGCTTGGATGGGCCCTTTGGATTTCTCTGCTGTTCCCTTCACTGTTCTGTGGTGAGGAAAAAATTTGGTTTACTCTAAGATCCCAGTTTTCTTTTACAGCCAACTCCATGTGTCTTTGGGAATTGTATCCTAAGTTTTCCTCCATGCAGGGATCAAGTCTTAGGCTTGGTTGGAAACTGGAGCAACTGGAAGGGTTTTTCCCAGTATTGTCACTGGGAGATTCTCATCCCGTGTGTCCTAATTGGTACTGCTCAGTCTCATGCGTCTCCAGCTGAAATCCAGATATAATTTGGGTTTGGTTTCATGGATTTGAATGGCTGGAAGTGTCTGAATAGCAGCCAACAATGCTAAATATCTTCTTTTCTTCCCCCCTCAATGCAGTCTTCCTCTGTGTCAGGGAGCTGTCACTAAAACTATTTTTAATTGTTGTGTGCTTTAATTCATGATGTTTTGTTGGAAAATATTCATCACTTGTTTGCTCAGAGAGAGAGAGAGGAGGAAATTCTGGTCTCAGGGAAAGTGATGAAAATCCAAGTCACTTCACTGAGCTCACATTATTTTGGAATTATGTGCACGAAAAGTTATTCTCTATAGCCTGAAGGCTCTAAAAAGAAGAATTTTGAATTTCTGTAGTCTCAGTCAAGTTAAACAGCAGACTGAAGGCTTTAAATCTTGGGCAATCAAAGCCTGAGCTTCAAAAAAGTGAGAAAATTGAAGAGAAAAAAGCCTTGTGCCAGTACTTTCAAGCAGTGAGTTCCTATATGGGCATCTTACTCTGCTTTTTTGGAAGGAAAGCAACACAGGTTAGATCTGGGATAAGTTTATTTGCTAATTATTCACTGAAAATAAACTGACTGCTTAGTGATGATCCAGAAGGGCTCAGATTTCAGCTGAAATTGGGCTGTCACTCTTCCCTGGCACCTCAGGGCAGCAGATTTTGGTGCAGGGGCTGGTGGTGATGGCTCCTGTTCCTCTCTGGGTTGTGCCGCATCCTTTTCGTGACATTCCTGCTCCACCACTGCTGCAGAAGGGATTAATTAGTGATGGAATCATGAGGAAATGAGCTCGCTGATGAGCAGGCACCCAAACACTGCCCGGGAGGGAGGAAGGGGAACGATGCAGCGCCAGGCTCCAGCTCTCCCTGCCCATGAGAAGAGCAGCCACAGAGATTTACACCTTAAAAAAATAGCTTGCTTTTATTTTTTATTTTTGTCTTTGTCGGAAATGGAGCTTTTCTTGTGCAGAGAGAGCTGTTGGCATTCCCAGCAGAGCCCTTGGCACGTAGTTCTGTTTGCTCACACGCATTTTGGGGTCTGAGCTCCCTGCAGGCTCCTGCTGCTGCCACCTGCGTGCACCAGCCTCAGGCCTTGGCATCTTCCCTGGCTCCAGGAAGGCAGAATTATCCCAGATGAGGTGGGAACCAGCCATGGGTCAGGCTAATTTCACAGCAAGGCTGCGGGTTGTTGTGTTTTTCCATGCTGCAGGTACTGGTGGTGCTGCTCAGAGCGACGAAACCCCCCTGAAACATCGCTGGGATTGACAGGGGAGAAGCAGGCTGGAGTGAGAGCTGAACAAAGACCTGGAGAAATTGAGATTAAATATCTCTAAACACACACTGAGCACCTGTTGGCTGCATCAACACCTGCATTGCTGCTGAAGATGTCCATCCTTATTCCCGAGGCTCTGCCATTCAGGTATCGGCCAAAACCACCCAACACTGAGCACTTGCAATAATTTGCTGCTTTTAATGCATTCAGTCAGGCCAATTACATAAAATTACACGTCTGCCCTCTCCATTTTACCAGTTCTTTAGGTCCTAAGGATGTATAAATATTCAATGAGCCCTCTCAGTAAACGCTGCGGGCAGCGGAAAATGCACAGAGCAAATATTTTTATATTGCACTGGTTTTGGAAATGATTTCTGAAATGTCCCTGCTAGTGCTGGACTTTCTTCCCCTGAACTGCAAAGTATACTGATGGTCACTTAACAAATCGCTAAAGTGAATTATGAAATGGCATTTGCACTCCTTGACCATGCCAATGAGCGTAATTTAAATAAATCTATTCACGAATAGAGGCCTAATTAGCAGGGACTGGGCAATTTGCAGCCGTGTATGGGAAGGCTCTGCCAATCACAGGCTCAATCGGCAGAGTGGCAAGTGCCGCTGAAATGCTGCAGAGTTAAAATCACTCCGAGCTTTCAGGGATCAAGCACTAGATGAGAAAAACACTGAATTAACACTCTTGCTCTGCCGCGGGAGCTGGTTCTGCGTGGCACGTGGATTTTAGGAAACCTCTTCTGGCCTTTCTCTCACCTCTGTTTTCCCAGTTGTCAAAGGGAGATAACGATGCTGATTTCTTTTTGAGACCGCTTTGAGGTCAGCTGAGGAGGAAAGCAGGATACAAGCTGAGTAACATTTGTTTCTGCAGATGCTCTCCAGTGCTTGTATTAAGAATTCCTGACTGGGAGAATCAGCTGGCATCAAAAACCAGCGGGATAAAGGCAGATTAGACATTTGTTGGATATAAACACACAAAAAAATGTGTTACTTGTTTGCAGTAAGCACAGAAGTCCCTGGCTGTCCCTGAGGTGCCATGTGCTGTATGAATGGCAGAATTCACAGTGTCACCTGAGACAGGTACGCCCATCAAAGAGTCCTCGGCTCAGTAGCTGCGAGTCACAAATTCAGCATCTAATCAGACATCTCAGACGGAAAGAGCCGCGGTCCCGCTTTGTCCCCTGCCTTTGTGCATCCTGTCACGATGGCCCTGATAACGTCTTCCCAGCAGCAGCTGTCCTGGGAAAGTAAAAAGCAGCTCTTTTTCCCCCTCCAAATGTACATTGAAAATAGGAATGGAAGCGGACCACAAAGCGAACCTTTCCCGGTGATTATGGGGAGGCGAGGAGAGACACAACAGCACCCTTGTTCTGGTGGCTTTGAAATGGAACAAAGGCCTGGAGGGGACACGGCAGAGTCGGGTTTCACCTGTCCTTTGTGCCTGTGGGAGAAAAGCAGCTCCAACTGGACAAAACCCACTGGAAGAGGGGACCTACCCATGCCCAAGATCCAAGAACCCATCCCAAGATGGGTTCTGCAAGGCTCTGCTGCAGCAGGTGCTTGTGTCCCACCAGAACCTTGCTGAGATACTGGACCAGCTCAACCCCTGCAAGCCCCTGGGCTGGAGTTCTGATTTGTCACCTTCTGCAGCAGTGGACACAGGTCTCATTCCAGGGATTTTTTATTTTCCCCTGTTTTACATTGCAGTCATGGCTGTAAGAATGTGAGTTGTACCTTTGCCAGCATTTCCCAGCCAGTATCCAGGTTCTCCTTCCCATTCGATTAGGATCCTATCAGCAGGCTCATTATCTTCTGCTTGTTCATTAGCTTGAGATAATGAAAACAACAGAACAGACAGAAAAAAATGCCATATTCCATTTAGTGGAGACATCAAGCCTACGAAACAAAGTTAGATCCATGGATCATACTGTATAAAAAGTGACCTAAAAAGAAAAAGAAAACCACCCAGGCTGTCAGTTCCCTGGCATCCTGTTTGTCATCAGCACGGGATAATTATCACGGATTTTAGTGACACAATAAATACAAAAGCACAGGTGGGATCCATTTTCAGCTGTTTAATTGAAGACATGAAAGATCCTGTAATACAGAGTCAACACAGAGAATTTGTCAGGCTACGCTAAAAACTTCGAATATCCATGACCTTGGGGTTATAAAATTACTCATCAGGAGTAAAGTTTTTTATGATGCAGAAGTGAAGGATATTGATTTTATAAAATATAATTTTATATTCAGTATAAATGAAGAAAATGGCTCAAGCCAGCCTTCTGCTGGTAAAAATATAGGATTATTGGGTGCGGATCAATACAAATAATATCTTTAAACCAGAAATTTTGATTAATTGATAAAATACAGGCTGCGACTTTTTTTCCCTTATAGCCAACAGAAAAAAAATAAGGAAGTGGGGAATGGTTTCTCCAGAGATTTCCTCAATTTGCTTTGTCTTGCCGGTGCATTGTGTGTTTATACTTTTAGAATGAACCTGTCTTTAAATTCCTGATCTGGTAAGTCATGGAATCACAGCATTGTTTGGGTTGGGAGGGACCTTAAAAATCATCCAGCTCCATGGGCAGGGACACGTTCCACTGTCATGGAGCTCCAGCCTGGCCTTGGGCACTGCCAGGGATCCGGGGCAGCCACAGCTTCTCTGGGAATCTGTGCCAGGGCCTGCCCACCCTCCCAGGGAACAATTCCACCCCAAAATCCCGTCTAACCCTTTGTTACCTCGTCAAGCCCAGGGACTCCAGGCCTGCTGGAGATCCTGGCTGGGATGGGAGAACGTCTCCCCTCAGCCTGTGCAGGCCCTGAGGGAGGACGGGGCGCGGAGCCCTTTTCCCGCCACTGCGCCGGCGCCATTTTGTCTCCTTCGGGAACTGAGGTTTGTGAGGGGCTTGAGGGGCTGAAGAGTCCAGGAGGAGATTGAAGGGTTTGTGAGGGACACCTGAGGAGCTGAAGAGTCCAGGAGGAGGTTGAAGGGTTTGTGAGGAGTCCAGGAGGAGATTGAAGGTTTTGTGAGGGAGACCTGAAGGGCTGAGGAGTCCAGGAGGAGATTGAAGGGTTTGTGATGGGTCCAGGAGGAGGTTTGTGAGGGACACCTGAGGGGCTGAAGTGTCCAGAAGGAGGTTGAAGGGTTTGTGAAGGACACCTGAGGGGCTGAGGAGTCCAGGAGGAGGTTGAAGGGTATGTGATGGGTCCAGAAGGAGGTTGAAAGGTATGTGAGGGACACCTGAGGGGAATGGAGGGTGTATGAGGAGGGCTGAGGGGTCCATGATGGGCTGAGGGGCGGTTGAGCAGCACCCGAGGAGGTTGAGGGGCTCCTGAGTGGGGCAGCTCTGCTCCAGCTCTCAGAACCCAGAGTATTTAAAATCCTAAATTACCATTTTAATCTTCCTCTGATACAGGTGTTCCAGTGCTGGTTCCTTTGACACGACCCAGCTGCTGTGAGGTACAGCAGGTAACAGTATTTAACTTCTTCTGAGGTGAGAATATTACCCTGCCTTGGAGGGATGCTGAGGTGACTTTCCCGCAGAAGGAAACATAAATTCTTCCATCTAATGGGATGTGAACAGGTTTGAGGGCCCCATTGTTCAGTGGTTTCTGTAAGGCAAATTTGGGCTGTCTCTCTGTGAGAATGTAGTTTGAAATGCTCTTTTAGGAAAATCACTTGCTTCTCAGATAACTGCTTATTTTTCTTTAAAATGTAGGTTTATTTGTCCTCTAGTTCAACAGACCTTTATCCTAATGCCTGCTGAAGTGGTTAACAATTCTCACACAAGGTTCCAGGTACAAAGACTGTGAAAGGCATTCAGGATTTCGTTCTAAAGCTTGAACAGGCATCCTCTGAAAAATGTCAGCAGCTCTCTCCTATTAATGGTTATTAAGATTTGGACAATGAGATGGTTCCTTTTACAACAAAAAATAGAATCTGACAACTATCTGTTAAGTATTTAAATGTCTCTAAGGAACCCATGAAATAATAAGAGGCATTCAGAGGGTCTAACAAAGCACCCATGGCTCCACTTTGGCATCTCTAGGTTGAACCTAGGTACTCTCAGGGCTGGGCAGTAAATGCCATGTTGGCAGCCTGAAAAGAACTGGTTTTCATAAATCTTATTTTAATAAATTCAGAACTTTTCTGTTTTGAGGGAGGAATAAACTCACACTTTAAAGTAGTTTAATATTTAGTCCAAAACCTCAATTAAAGGTGCTTACACGCAACACTTCTCTTTCCTCACATATAAATTGCCTTTTATATATGAGCTGCCTCATTAAATTCAGTTGGGCTTCCCAGAGAGAAGGAAGGTAAATATTTTTCAGAGCCTGGTGCTAATGGAGTCATTTAATGATGAATAATAAATAAAAATTACAGGCCTTTATTTGAGAAGCTTAGGTAAATCTGTCACAGTAAAATTCATAACTTCCATCGCCAAATCCAAACAATAAAGAATTGTCTACTTCAGATGGCTTGAAATGCCTCTTATTGAAAACAGATGCTATTAGGTCAAAACATTTATGTTAAAAAATAACTTGTTATTCTCACTGTGAATGGTCTTAAGTGATTTGTTTGGATTTTTACAAAATCTAAGTCAGTTTCCTCAAGTTTCAGATAAAGAATGGCTCATTCTCGTTCAGCACGGGACTTTGTTGCACTTTCAGATCTGCATCCAAACCTCGCTCGTCCTGTAAGTCTCACAGCCATGGTCCTTTTGTCCCCAGATGAAATTGTATCTGACTGTCTTATATTACTGCAAAATTATGTAATTGATGTGTATTTAGGTACTGATAGCATTAGTGCAATTGTTTGGGTAGAAAGGACCTTCCCTTCTTTGTGTGCAAAGCAGCAAAATGAAAATTGATGCTGTTGTTGTCCACAGCCTGTGGGTACCACAGGCACAGATATTGACCGGACAATTCAATGTATCAGAGGCTCCTTTGTGGCACTTTAAATGGATGCTGAATTAATGAAGACATTATTAAAGACATTACAGAGTCAGCATTATGCAGCCACAATCATCTGTGACCTCAGCAGTCTCTCACGGCACGCTATGGAAAGGGGGAAAAAAAATCTCACAGTTCCATGGCAGGGTTGGTTCTATCTCTTTAGGATAAAAAATGGATTTGTATAGAATCACAGACTGGGTTGGAAGGGAGCTTAATCCATCCAGTGCCAGCCCTGCCATGGCAGAGACACCTTCCACTGTCCCAGGGTGATCCAAGCTCTGTCCAGCCTGGCCTGGGACACTGCCAGGGATCCAGGGGCAGCCCCAGCTGCTCTGGGCACCCTGTGCCAGGGCCTCCCAACCTCCCAGGGAAGGATTTCTCCCCAGTATCCTAAACCCACTCTTTTGCAGTCTGAACCCATTGCCCCTTGTCCAGTCACTCCATCCCTTCTAAAGAGACTCTCTCCATGTTTCTTGTCAGCTCCTTCAGCCACTGGAAGGCCACGGGTCACCCCAAAGCTTCTTTTTTTCCAGGATGAGCAATCCCAATTCTTTCAGCCTTCCCAATCATCCTGGAGCTTTTTCTGGACTCACCCCAACAGCTCCAGGACCTTCCTGTGCTGGGAGCCCAGGGCTGGAGGCAGCTCTGCAGGTGGGGTCTCACCTGAGCAGAGAGGCAGAATCCCCCCCCTCCCCTGCCCCAGGGAAGTCCTGATGTTCCTGGAAACAGTGAAAACATGGAATTTTCCCATTCCCACTTTTTATTTGGGATGACACGATTTTTTTTCCTCATATACTTCAAACCAATGAAAGAGGCATCACAGAAAATGGATGATCTAAGAGTTTTCTATTCCCTTGGAGCCATATTGATCCAAACTGATCTTCAGCAATGCTAATTTAACCTGTCATTCACAGTTCCTCTCAAATAATGATCCACTAACCCAGTTAAAAGCTTTCACCCAGAGGTGAACAGAGCTGGGGCAGATTTCTTTGGGAAATTGGATATTTGCATCAGAAATTAGCCACAATCAGCCTAATTTCTGCAGGCACTCATTCTAAATGTCAGTTCTTTTGACATTTGGTGGTGAGATACAGGGAATATTGCACTCTGATTTAATAGATTTAAAAAAAAAAAATAAATAAAAATGAAGAAGCAAAACCCAAAGTAGAAAAACAAAATCCTGTTCGGGCTCACTGCATGCAGTGGACAGAAAGCATTCAGTCTGGAAGGGGAATATTAAACTGCTGGACACAAGTGGCCTCTTCCTGAGTTTCCATCCCTGCAGGATAAGGCAGTTCCCGTGCTCCCTCTAGCGATTCCAAGGAAATCCGAGAGCTGATTTTTGAGCCCGTGTCAATATCGTGACAGTGAAGTCAGGCAGGTCACGCTGTTTTGTGAACGCGCACAGAATGAATCCGGGGTGGGTTTTTGAGTTGAAACCCTGCCCTTCCCACCTGGCTCCGGAATTCTGCTGGAATGGGACGGTCAGGACTGCGAGAAGGGCTCGTGTGAAGGAGCCGAGGTTGCCAAATCCCCGGGAGGGTCCAAAGCCAGGCTGGACAGGGCTTGGAGCAGCCTGGGACGGTGGGAGGTGACCCTGCCCAGGGCAGGGGTGCCACTGGAGGGGCTTTAAGGTCCCTCCAACCCAAACCATTCCAGGATTCTGTGAAGTGGAACTGATGCAGGATGCTTCATGTTTTGAAGGATCCTGGCAGTATTGCACTTCCAGCCCTTGTCCCACTCTGACTTTCTTTGCTGACATCTTAAATCCCAAATGAGCACTGAAAAACTCTTCTCTGGCACCAAGGACCACCTAAAAAACAAAAACCACCACCCACAAAATATTATATTATAGAAAGTTAGCTAATACATCCCTATCTACCCGTGTGTGTTTGCTCCCTGTAGCTGTGCTTGGCAATTCAGAACAGGATGTTTTTACATAATAAACACAGGTTTAGCAAAGCAGGATAAAACTGATTTTGGTCTGAATCAACAGAAAAGCTCCTTTCCTCAGCTCCCCTGTTGAAAGATAACAAGGGAGAGGCACCTGTAGAAATTTAGGTTGCTTGGCTGAGGCCAGGATAAGCTGTGGGTGCACACGTGTGGCTCATGGTGCTGACAGCCAGGAAAACCTCGGACACTTCACTGTAAAATAAATCCTGTCCAGACTTTCCATGGAGCATTTGAGGAGATCTGAGACCTGTGCAGAGAGCATGAAACAACAACACTGCTGCTTACCTGAGGAGAGATTGCTGTAGAACAGCCAAAATCGTGAAGGTTTGGGGTGAACTTTTGTCCTCCCATTTTCTCCCCAAATAGAAACAGATGTATTTATTTTAATATTTTTATTAGTCACAATTTTTTTTCCTAAAGTAAACTTGTGTGTTTATGTTTTACTCTTTAGCTCATAGGGTTCTGTGGAATAAATAGATTAAAATGATTACCAGTCAGAAATATGTTTATTATCATCAGCAGAGTATAATTCCATGAAATCTAATTCATCATCTACATCTGGGTTTAATACATGTACTCTATAATCTTTTTATTTTTCAGAATGTAATCGGGGTGGTTATTGGGAAAACAGATGTCAGAAGCTTTCCAGACCGAAAAAGTACAGTCCCTTTAAACTTTTTCTTTCATTTTCTTCAATGGTGTAATTTGGCAGAGATGGCTGAAATCAAGATTTAAATGATAAATAGATTTCTCAGTGTAAAATGGATAGAATAAAAACACACCCCCAAAAAAATGGTGTCTGTTTGAGAACAAGGTGAAAGAGCAGCATTGTTTTTTCTTATCAATTAGAAATTGGAAAAGCTCTGCCATGGAAATGTTTGGTGCTCTGAAGATGGAACCAATATGAACCCACTCTATAAATACTGGAATGGAGCTGGTGCCTTCATATTTGTTCTCTCTTAAAACAGCAATGTTGAAGACATATCTTGTAATTTCTGGCCTGAGCAGCAACAGCCTCATCTGGGACAAAACGGGAGTTGTATGTTGTTAATACAGCATTAATTGGAAATTGAAATAACAAATTTACAGTCAGGGTTGGTACAGGCGCTGTCAGGAAGCACCTCCAGCCCTGGGGAGCCATTCCAGCTCCAGGAGAAGGGCTCAGTTGTTCTGCTGCCACTGGCTCCTGCTGAGCTGCTGGAGAGGTGACATTTTAGGAGAAGGTCATTGCAGTCACCCAAAATGAGTGGCACCAGTGCAGAGTCTGCAGGTGAGGTGTGTGTGCTCCATGGAGCTGCACTCAGGGGATCCCTGGAGTTTTCCTTGATAATTCAATAATCTATTTCACCATGCTGTGATCCCTGGAAATCTTTATAAGTTACCTGTATGAGACAGGGCACCGATATCCTGAATAAATTCATTATTCAGTTAAACATCAGCGGGGCCTCATCACCCATGGGGTCAGCCCAGCTCCTACACAAGTGGGGATGTGTGTACAAACGAGCCCTGTTTGTGTGTTTGTGTGTTTGTGTGTTTGTGTGTTTGTGTGTTTGTGTGTTTGTGTGTCTGTGTGTCTGTGTGTTTGTGTGTTTGTTTGTGTGTCTGTGTGTTTGTGTGTGTGTTTGTGTGTGTGTTTGTCTGTGTGTCTGTGTGTCTGTGTGTTTGTGTGTTTGTGTGTCTGTGTGTCTGTGTGTCTGTGTGTTTGTGTGTCTGTGTGTCTGTGTGTTTGTGTGTTTGTGTGTGTGTTTGTGTGTTTGTGTGTTTGTGTGTTTCTGTGTTTGTGTGTCTGTGTGTTTGTGTGTTTGCCAGGCCTGGCTGTCATCTCCCACAGCTCCTGCACTTCTCCCCTGTTTGATCTGGGAGTTCATACCCTGCCCAAAGTGAAGCACAGGGTGGACAGGTACCACAGCAGGAATTGCATTCCCAAAAACACCAGCGTGTTCCTGCACCACCTGCTGGCCTCCAGCAAGGAAATCCTTGCCAAAATCCAGGAAAACCTCAAAATAGGAGTTTTTATACACATATTCTAGTTAGAAATCATGCTGTGCTGAGGAATTGCTACAGGCCTGTTTATTTTTGCAGACATTGGCACTGAAAGATACACCTTCAATTTTACCATTCGTGATTCCCCAACTTGTTTCATTAATGTCCAGTCGTGGGGCAGAGAAGAATACATCAGATCCCTCTCAGAAAGCTTCAGGGTTGGTGACTGTGGTGAGTTTATTTATTTTATTTATTCTCACTTGTTTGCATGGAAATCAGGGTTGTGCTGGTGGCTTTGCTGTGTTGTGCTCTGAGGACTCACAGCCTAATTGGAAACAAATTGTTCAGTTCTGTTCAGTATAAAGAGGAAAGGAACAAGATTCCAAGGATTTCAACTCAAGCCCAGTAAATATGTCAACAAAAGAAACCCACTGAGTGCAGCAGCTCAGAACTGGCCTGCAGTTAATCAATGTCAAATCTTACATTATGCTGAGGTCTTAAAAATGATGAAAAATAAGCTGTAAAGCAGTTTGGTGTTTGTCTTCCCTCAGTTACAGATATGACTGTGATTGCTGATAAAACCACAACAAAAATCCTGTATTTATTCACAGGATGTGCTTTTATCTTTTTAAATTCATAGAAAGATTTTCCTGCCCGTGGTTGTTTTGGTAAAACTTGTGAGCTTGCAGAGTGTACTAACAAAAATATCTATAATTGTACCTATAATCAATTTCTAACATTACTTATCAATGCTTTATTTTAGTTACAATTGAAAATCCTTTAATTCAGTCAAAGGAAGCAGAAAGAGAAGAAAAATTCAACCCTGTAACTCCTAGGTAAATTTAAAGCATGGAGTGGTAGTTCTTTCTAGAAAGATCAAAGTTAATACTTGTTTTAATTTGCAGCCACATGAAATTGGTAGAAATATTTGGTGTTTTCTTCTTGTGTAGCTGTACCTTCCTCCTGTGCTCAACAATGTCTGGTTAAATCTCAAAGGAGAATATATTTCATAAATAGAAGGCCATAAAGCAATAATGCTCTTTGTTACTAAACAGAGTAAATTTCATTCTTTGAGTAAAATCAACAAGAATTTTTTGTACCTTTAGGAAAAACTAATGGAATAAAGTTGCTTTTCCATATGAATAGAATTAACATTTTACACTGTTGATAAACCTCAGTGAGTGCAGTGCTGATCCATGGGATTTGTTCTGTTCTAGTGGCTACAAATTATTGCTCAGTGAAAACCACTCTGTGGTTAAAACCTCTTCCTGCTACGATACAGACACCAGGCTCCTGGCTCTGCTGCACCTGCCTGTCAAGGACCCTCAGGATTATTATTCCCTGGGGGACATCGTGGCAAATGGACAAAGCCTCCATGGGAGAGTCCTCAACGTGCTGGCAGCTGTGATGGCAGTGAGTGAGGAGCATTTCTGGGCTCTGATCTGTAAATGTGGATTTTTGGCTGTGATGGCAGTGAGTGAGGAGCATTTGTGGACTCTAACACCAGTAACTTCACTGTAAATCTGTGTAAATGTGGATTTTGGGCTGTGATGGCAGTGAGTGAGCAGCATTTCTCTGCTCTGACACCAGTAACTTCACTGTGAATCTGTAAATGTGGATTTTGGGCCTCACAGTGGTCAGGACTCTGTTTGTTCAGCCTGGCACCTGAGTGATGATAACCACAAACACCTTTTGATGAGATTTTTACCAACAAAATGAAAGGAAAAAATTAAGTGATGCCATTTTTAGTAGTCTATAGCCTTCCCTTTTCTAACCCTTTTATTTCCTAGGTTATGAGTTTTATTCTCCTAAATACTGAAGAGAGGACAAATGACTTCTTCTCTTTCTTCTTAAAGGTTGGGGAGCCCAAATATTTCATGACTTCAGACAAAAGGAAAGGCCAGAGGTGTGAAGTCAAGCTGTATGATGAAACAGAGAGGTCTTTCCCAATAGTATGGTAAAATGGTCTTTAATTCACTAAAAAGCACAAAATAATTCCAACACAGGTAGAACAATTAGCTATAAGACACACTAATTAGCTATAAGCCTGTCTTTTAATTTAAATATATTGTTATTTAGGAGGCAACTGAGATGAAGCAGCAGTGTACACTGAAAAGAGACTTAAAAAAGAGATTCATTAGAGTGGTCTTATATATCTTGTGTAGTTTTATGGCTTGCTGACAGCCTGCTGGCTCATGGATGGCAAAATGAAGCTCAGTTCCAAATAATTCATTTTTTTTCATGTGGACATTTGAGCTAATGCAGGAAATGGCATTTAAAACCAGCTGCAAAGGCTGTTGTGTCTCTTCCACAAACAGGAAGGCAGGAAAATGAAGAGCATGATCCATTTTTAAAGCCAAGCAGAATTGCAAGTGGAGTGGAAATAGGTGGAAATAGTTTTTAAATATTTAAAATAATGCAGAAACATTTTGATACAGCTTTGGCTGTATTTCCAAGCTCTGTCTTGTTTACAAACACGACTCCACCCACCCCATCCCTGCTGTAAGCAGTGCCTTGTTCACAGAGGAACCTTTGCATTTTGCCCAGAGTTTGTTCAATAAACTTGTGGCTTTTCCATGTGCAGGGACATGTGGGGGTGTGGATATTATTCCCTTGCCCTGAGATTGTTTGGTGGTTAAAAAATGACTTCAGTGACCTTTGCTCCCTCAGGGGATGTAGGCAGGCAGCCCTGCACTGTAAGCTGTTATCACCAGGGATCTTTATCATGGGATGTTTAACACAATTCATAGCCACAAACCCAAAAGAAGCATCTCAGGGGTGAACCCTTCCAGCCCAGGGTTAATTTGGAGCAGCTCCTCCATCAGTTCTCTCTCAGGGCTGGGACTTGGGCACTGTCAGGGTATTTCAGGGCCCAGCAGTGAAGAGGTGGCTGAGCAATATTGGATAAGAGGAAATATCTTAAATCTTTTTCCAAGGATTAAGAAGAAAACCCACCAGAACAAATCTGTGCTTTGGCTGTGCTCTTGCCAGCCAAATTTAGGAGGAGCTGAATGTGATTTTATCACGAGAGCATGAAATTACCATTTTTGAGGGATACTCTGACCTCACTCCAGTCTCATCATCCCCAGCCACAAAGATCCCAGTGTTGGAAGTGGCTGAACATCTGGCCTGGGGATCTGAGCACAAACAGCTCCTTTAAATGGGATTTGCTTTAGTTAGAAATGACTTTGATAAAAGCTGGAATACAGCATTTCCCCCAGCTATATTCTGCATTTAAACCCATCTTTATTTTATCCTGTTTGGGATAAAACAGGCTCATGGAATTTCAGTGCCACAAAGGAGTCGTGTCCCCTTTGGGCAATTTTATTACAACTACATTATTTAATTTATTTATTTAGTTAATTAATATTATATTAATAATATAATATTAATATATAACAAAGAAATATTATTTATTTTATTATTTATTTAGTTTTAGTCACTAAGCAGTTTGAGTACTGTTTCAAAAATAAATGTCCATCCACTTTTGATGCATTCATTTTTGTTTAATTTAGCTGGGATAATGAATCCATCCAGCTGGCACAGAGTTGGGTCCCCCAAGAAACAGGTAAAACAGTCTGGTTTATTGTTTTACTGTAGTTCTTTGTGTGACATTTATTCTCCAGTAACATGGGGGTGTTTTTGTGCACAGTTATATTTGCATCAGATGTCAGAATCAACTTTGACAAATTTAGGAACTGCATGACTGCAACTGTGATATCCAAAACCATCATTACAACTAACCCAGGTAAGAGCTGCTCAAGTATTCCTTTGCTTTTAGTAATTATTCTAGGCTAGAATGCATTAATTAATCTATTGGAACTGTGATTTCTTCTGCCTGCTTCTCACAGAGCTCTCTGCTTTTTGTCTGCTACATGATGACCAGTTCCTTTGGCTTCTACTCTTTTCCCTTTCCCTTTCCCCTTCCCTTTCCCTTTCTCTTCTTTTCCTTTTCCTTCATAGGTTTATTCCATGCAGGACTAACAGTTAAAATAAAAAAGAGAAAAGCAAGTCTTGGCTAATTCCAGCATGTTTGTGTTACCAGAATAAAAAGTTGTAAAATATAAAAATGTTGTGATTTTTACATACAGCATATACTGATAACTTTTAAAAATGCATCCTCAGAAACAGCAGAAGCAAATGTTCTCTTCAGCTTCATCAAAGAGAGCGCCCAGGCAGGAGCTCTGCCCAGCCCAGTGAAAGAGCTGGCAAATGAAACCATTAACTGTAAGAGTTTGATTTTATTTACCTGCAGTGTCTTTTCATAGTGCAGCTGAAATAATTCCTGCTCTGTGTTCTCAGAGGAACAAAACTCAGGTCCAGCCTGGCTGAATATATAAAGTTTGGATGGTTTCTTGGGGCTGTCCTTTATTTTATGTGTCTCCAGCTGACTGTGCCAGCTGCAGCCTGTCTGGTGTGCTCTTTCTGTCCAGAGAGTATGGAAAAGTGAGGGGAAAAGCTTTTGTCAAAAACTCCTTTTGGAGGATACAAAGATTAAATAATAGATATATTCCTGATCTGAGTTCCCTTTTGTTTTACTTTTTTTTGGGGGAATGCTTTTCTGCTGCTTTAAATCTCCTTTTTATTGCCTTAAGTTCCATTTTGGCCATTGCTCTTTGAGTAATTTCTGGCTCAGACACCCTTAACATGTCTTTTAAACTTGTAGTGGAGGCTGTAGTGGATGTCTACACAGTGGAACAGCTGAAAGAAAAAGCTCTGCAGAGTGATGGGAAGCTGGAGCCTCTCCATGGAATTATTTATGGCTACATTTCCACCCTGGACATTGACGAGAACGTGTCCAGAGTCCTGCGCAACAGATGGTGAGCAACTGCCTGCTTGGAATGTGTGCTAAAAACTGCTTGTCCCTCTTCCCCACACCCAAATGAGATGGAGCAGTATTTTAGTCCCATCCCAGAGAAGAAATAAAACTCCTCTGGAGGATGCCATGTGGGTTTCTGTTGTGGGCTCTGTGAAGGCTCTTTATGGTCCAAGAGTGAAAGAGATCACTTTGTCTCAGACAGACTCAAGAGTTTAGGAGATAAAAACTTTTTTTTTAAAGTACAAAATCTCTTGGGAAGTCTCAGTCTAGAAAAACGTTTCAGGAAGAATAAATTGCATAGCTGCATGAATTCTCTCCTTGTGTTTCAGCTCAATCTGCCGGTTCATTGTGAATGAAGCATCAAACACCTGCACCTTCTGCAGTGATGTCTCTCCAGAGGCCAAGTCCACCTTTGCCAGCTTTGACATCCTGGTGGATGTGACAGATCACACGGGCACCCTGCGCTCCTGCTACCTGTCCGACTGTGTCGCTGAGGAAAGCCTGGGCTGCACAGTAAGGGGGGATTGGGCTGTTCCTCCTGAGCTCAGCTGAGGAGCCTGGTGGGAATTACAAACACCTGCAAAAGTTCTGTGTGTGTGCAAGAGTTAGAAAAATGGCATGGATGGATGGATGGATGATGGATGGATGGATGGATGGATGGATGGATGGATGGATGGATAGATGATGGATGGATGGATGGATGGATGGATGGATGATGGATGGATGGATGATGGATGGAGGGATGGATGGATGGATGATGGATGGATGGATGATGGATGGATGGATGGATGGATGGATGGATGGATGGATGATGGATGGATGATGGATGGATGGATGGATGGATGGATGGATGGATAGACA